GGCGCCCCCGCTCACCTGCTCCACCATTCTGCCGCGGCCAACACCCTCCATGTTCTGCACATGCCCCCTGGTGATCAGCGCACGTCATAGCAACCGGTTGTTCATTTGTTCTGGTTGTTCCACCATTTGGTCTATTTGCATATTAGCCTTTTATTATATAGGATAGTTAAACAATGGGGGGTAAACTGCAAATGCCCATTGACTAGATAAGTCACTTGTGGTGTACATAAAATATTTACTCAGCAATGAAGACAAACTACTCATACACACAGCAATATGTTGAGCAAAAGAAGTCAGACACATAATAGGATGTACTGTGTCTCTATTCAAATGAAATTCAAAACCAGGCAAGACTAATCAACTGTTGGGATAATGATTATATTTTGGAGGTTTTTGACAGGGAAGAGATGGAATAAAAGCCTTCTGGAGTGCTAGAAATGTTCTATGCCTTGATTTTTTTGGTGGTTACTTGAGTTTATACTTATGTAAAAATACATGCACATTGTTGTATTTTATCCTCCAAGGACATTCACAGGTTTATGACCTCATAGAAATATCTTTTTTTCTGAACTTCCCTGCCACAGAAGTCTGTATAATGTCCTGCCACATAGTCCTGAAACTCAAAGTACCACATCTAAAGTTGTACATATAGTTCAAAAGTTCTTTCAGCAAAAGTATAGAGATTGAGAACAAAAAAATTATTCAGACCTAGGCTAGGAGGAAATCAAACATGATTAACGGGTAAGATAGTGAGAATGTTTTACTGTAATTCCCTTAATAGTGCCCTATAAAGCCATCTTTGATGTTTTAATATTCCTTACTGTCATTCATATAAATTTTAGTTCACAGTCCATTTTTATAGAAAAGCATATGTAAGTAGAAAAGTGGGTTGTAAGAATGCCTAACATTTTGACACCATTTTTCCTCAAACATTGTTAGTAGAGTGGTCTGTGCATCTACAGAGTGGACTACAGTCCTGGTATCACTGCTATTCTGTACTTCCACAATTTAACTTTTCAAGTTTCTTTGCTTACAATTATTTTGAGCTGTTGCTAGGTTAACTGTGATACCACTGTGGTTCTAGGGCACAGGCCCACAGAAGCAAAACAGAACTGAAAACCCAGATCTGCTGAATTAGACCACCCATGTTTTCCAGCCCCCATGAACATCCTTCCCAAATGCAGAGAGTTTCCCCAAGGTGCAAGCCAGAAAACTCACTTCCCCACCTCTCTTGGAGCTGGAGTGTAGGCATGTGAGCTAGGCTCTGCCAATCAAATGCAAAATATAAATGACTTCAATTCCAAGTAGATAAAAATGGGGAAGCAGGCATCACCCAGAACCATTTTCTAGCCAGGGTGGCTATAGAAGCAGCCAGCTTTCAGGGACAGCAAGAGCAGGGTTTGGGCAACAGAGGTGCCATCTGAGATGCCTGCATGTAGTGGCAGCAGCAGAGGTGTCTTCCTTGGAGCAGTAGCTGCTGTTCCTAGGCACAAAGTCTCTGAGCCTAATCCTCTGGTCCTGCTTTTCCAGGAGCTATGCAACATCTACACTAATAAAAGAGTAACATGCTCATTGACCATACCTTCATGACTCCTACCAGCCAATCTGGAGTAATTATGCAAATTAACCCAACAGAGATAGTGGCTTAATTTGCATATGCAGGCACTGAGTGGCCAGGGGCAGGGTGGGGCGGGATGCCTGCATTGTGCCATGGTGACAATGCAGGCATCCAATGCCACCCTAGCCACTCCAGGCTTCTGGGCAGTGTGAGAAGGCAAAAAGGTGGCTCCAACCAGAGCGAAGGTGGTGCCAGCAGCCAGGGTAAGGAAGCCCATTCTTGCATGAATTTTCATGCATTGGGCCTCTAGTCCTATAATAATTTCCTTATTGCTTAAATGGGTCAGGGGATATTCTGTTATTTGTGCTACAGGCCTTGAATGAGGCACGACATACTGTGTCAGCCAACCTTCTCCAGAGAAACAGAACCAATAGGATGTGTGTGTGTGTGTGTGTGTGTGTGCATATGCAAATATGACTTTATTTTTAGGATTGGCTCACTTGATCGTCAGGGTTGGCAAGTCTGAAATCCATAGGGCATGTCGGCAGGCTGAACACTCAGGTAGGCATTGGTGCTGTAGTCTTGAAGCAGAATTTCTTTTCTGAAGCCTTCAGTTTTTTGTTCTTTGGGGTTTTCCAATTTATTAGATAAGGCTGACCCATGTTATAAATGATAATCTCCTTTTCTTAAAGTCAACTGATTATAGATGTTAACCATGCATGTCTGCAAAAAACATTCATAGCCACAACTAGATTAAGTTTTGATTAAATAACTGTAGCCCAGCCAAGATGAAGCAATGCTAATTAATCATCACACCACCAAATTTATATTCCAGGAATGGGCATTGATGTTACAAACATTAAAATCTTTCATGCTGAAGAAGCCTTCCTGGTGCATTTGACCTAAGTTTCCACTTGCAAAAAATTCATACACAGTTGTCCATATAAAACGAAGTCCATTCAATCTAGGCAGCTGCATTTAGGAAAAGACTGTTGCTGAAATCCATCCCATCCTCCCATTCCCCAGCCTTTCACCTGGCCTCTGCTGCTGCCCTCTCAGCTGGACCTTGGCCACAGCCTCCTCACTGTTCTAATGGCCTCTAGTGCTTCCTGATCTACTGTGTCATCCATTTTTCTAAAACACAAGTCTGATTGTGTCTCCGCTGATGAAAATTCCACCCAGAGCCATCATTGTTCTCTGTCACCTATACCCCGGGTATGGCTGTCCAAGTTGGCAGCCTTTAAAGTTTGGTTGCAAGCAACGGACTCCAACTCTGATCCACCTCAGTGAAAGAGGGATTCAAAGAGCAGCCTGGAAGATGGAAGGAAAATCTGAAGTCTTGAGGTCAGGAATCCAGGCTTCTCTGGTGATCTTGGGAACAGGAACAAATGGACAGGCTTTCCTGACAGGGGACGAGTCTGAGTCTGTCATCTTAATCCCCATGCAACTCCCTCCACTGAAGGCCAGTGTAGCAGGAGAGAGTATTCGATTGGCCAGGATTGATTCATAGGCCCTCCCTTTGGGAGTCACCAAGACTGAAAGGAACAAGAGGGGTGGGTTCTCAGGCAAAGTGGGGGTATTAGCAGAAGAGGGGAAATAGATACAGGCAAGTAAGATGAGACACAAGCACTTCATGCCCACTTTCCAGAGCAGAGCAACTGTGGGAGCAAGGAAGAACTGCATTCTCTGCATTCAACAGGGCCCAGGGGAATGGAGGTAGTTCCAACCAACAAAAGAAAAACAAAGGCTTTCTGGATCATAGGCAGGAGGCCCAGCCCCAGGGACCCTCAGCTTGGATTCCATTCCTCCCATTATTTCTGGGTCATTGTTCTCCTCCAGGATCTCTAAAGTCCAAAGTACAGAGCATGGAGGACCTTTCTCAACCTTTTACTTTATGTTTCTGACTTCTCCTCTCTGCTGGCTAAGGGGGTCTATGTGGCTTTGAAAATGGTATATGTGCTCAGGGGCCAAGCAGTGGAGGGCAGAGCAGAGTGAGTTCAAAGGGAAATCACACTTATTTCTCATCTGCTCTACCCCCTTGACATGTGAGCTCCATGCCAGCAGAAGCATTGTCTGTCATCATCACTCAGTAGCCTGTGACAATAACTGGCATGCAGTAAGCAGTTAAGAAAATAAATATTTGTGGTCAAACAAATAGCACCAAGTAATTGGAAGGCTGCACCCCACCTTTTCTGCCTTTAACCCTGAGCCAGACAGGTGAGAATAAGCCTGGAACTGAGTTAAACCAGGAAGCAAGAAGAAGCTGAATGGCTGTCTCAACCTGGCTCTGGCCCCTGTGGGGGCATGTCACATGACCACCCTGAGTCCCAGTTTCCTCAGTTTTGAAATGGATAGGATTTTTATTATATCATCTCCTTCTTGAGGATTAAGTGTGTACAATTGTAAGCACTCTCCTCCTCAGCTGTCCTTCATCTCTTTTGTACACTCTGTAAGGGAAGAGACTGTTTTCATCAGACAGTGGGAGCTGGGGAATTGAGTGTTTTAGGAGAACAGCCTGGAGGAGGTGATGCCTAACTCATGGGGTAAATAAAGCATAGGATGGTGGGAGTTCCAGGCAGTGATGTGCCCCAGCATTCCCAGGGGAAAGTCCCATGCTGCAACTTTGAGCACATCTGGCGAGTGGCTAGGAGAAAGGTCATTTCAGTGTTGCCTCTGTTTTGGGGGATGGGATCAAAAGAGATGCATAACAGGCAATTGGAAAAAAGAATTTTATTCACTTCATGAGGAACAGCTGCCATGAGTCAAGACCCAGATGAATACAGAGCTCTGGTGGCTTCTGACCAGTGGACTGGAAAAAGCTCACCTGTTCTTTCTATATCCTCAGACCAGAGTCTAAATTGGAGTCTCCAAAAGAGAACTCACCTCTTTGCCCCCTCTATACAGGCACAGATTCAGGCAATGCATTCTTGTTAGACATTTGATTCTCCTGCTCTATGGATATCTCCCTGAACAGGAAAATAAACATTCTAGATATGGAGACCAACATTGATCTGACATACCAACCAGTATTTTGGATCAGCAACCAGATCAACAACATTTTGAATCGCCAATCAGAAGTCTAGAATTCAAAATAAGAACCCTCTAACTTTCTGAATTATTTCATCAGGAACTCCAAATTTTAGAATGCCTATATTCCATATCAACCATAAATCTGGCATTCAAGGTTGTCAACCAGGAACACAGTTTTCAGGCATGCCAATGAGAACCACTTCTAACATTCTGGATGGTTAACCAGGAATTCAGTATTCTAGAATGACAAGACCACAACATTCCACATAACAGGTGAAAGACACAGAATTCTACATTTCAACTCAGATATTCTCGATGCCAATCTAGAAACCCAATGTTTAAGATTATTCACCTTGGCCTCAGCACTCTGGAAGGCAAGCAAAAAGCCCTATCCTCCAGAACGCTGCTGCCCTCAGAGCTCTGTGGATGGCCTCTCCACATCAGGCTCATTATCCTGAAGAGGGTCGGGTATGTGGAAAGAAACATAGGGACAAGTCTTGGTGTTAAGGCAAACCAGCTTCTTCAGTGTGGCCGTCTTAACAATGTTGAAGCCCATCTCACCACCGAATGTGCTTGACTTCCAGTACTCGGGAGAACAGATGGCATTCCCCAAGAGGCCCTTGAGGGAAAAGGGAGCCCCAATTTCTATCATACTCTCTCCAAAGATAGAGTTTGGATGGCACTTCTCAAGAAGCAGTCCCGGGTATAACTCCAAGGCATCAATGTCTCCATATAGCTCCTCCAATTCAGCTGCCATCTCCTTTTCTCCTACAAGGGGAAGAAGCTGCATTCAGAATCACTGTACCACCCATTGAGATTAATCTGGGGAGTAAACCTTCTAGGTCCACCTTTCTCTGGGGAGAATAAGGGAATTCAGAAAAACAGCTTGAGCAGTTGAGCACATGCCCTAAAATCTGGCTTTCTAGGTTGTCAAACAGGAACCCAGTTTTCGGGCATGTCACCGAGAACCAGTTCTAACATTCTGGATGGTTAACCAGAAATTCAGTATTTTAGAATGACAAATGGCTGACTGACCCTTCTCCAGGACTGCGTCTAGGGAAGGAATTTGCTACTGACAGAGTCAAGGTTCTACCACCAAACAGCACGTGACCTTGAGCAACTCATCCCACTTTTCTGTGCCCTAATTACCTGGTCATTACAATAGGGAGAAGCTACCCATTTTGTTTCCTTCGCAGGCAGGGTGTAAGGCCTTATCCAGGTCTAAGAGCCTGCATTCTTCTGGAGTTCAGAGACGTAATGTAAACTAGTCCAACCTCACACAGAGATTGAGCAATAGAGCTATTTCTGCCTCTGTGGACTGTCACAGGAGACAAACATTGAACTTTCTTACCTGTTTCCTCAAATCCACCCTCCCATAAGGCACTACTACACAGCTACAGGTAGGTCATGTTACACTCTTGTCAAAACACTTTAGTGGCTTCCCATTGTCTGTGACAAAGGTTTCCAAACTTGGCTGCTCAACAGTTGGGGATCAGCAATAACAATAACATACACACGTGCGCGCGCACGCACACACACACACACACACACACACACACACACACACAGTCTTGGGCACCATCCAAGCCTCCTGAATCAGAATCTCTGGAATAGATATCTAGAGTTCAGTATTTTTAATCAATTTTATAAGTGATCCTTAGGTAGTTAGTCCATAAATGGGTATTTAAAATCAACTAGACAGAATAAAACCCAAAATCTTTAGCACAAAATTCAAGATTCTATACAATTTGACCCAACCTCCTATCACTACCTCTATCCTAATCCCACATAAGCTCTTTGTCCAGCCACAACTACAACTATTCTCCATAGTAGACTTGTTTTTTATTACCTCTGTGCTTTTGTACTCTCTGTTTCTTTACCTAGAATGTTGTTCCCTCTATTCTTTACCCAGAATATTCCTTTTATCCTTCAAACCCAGCTCAAAAGCTACCTTCTCTCCTCTAGAAGGGTATTTGCCATCCCAAACCTCTGTAATCCCAGTCACAGTCCTGGCCACATATATTGGCCCACTCTGCTTCTCTATGTCTCACATTTCAGGGCAAGTTCACTGAGGGCATGGACTGTTTCCAGGAAGCAGCTTCTCACCTGTGAACTCCTGGAAAGAGGTGTAGGGCTTCATGCCAAACCTCTTGCGGTACTCATTGAAAGGCTGCAGCCTCAGCTCTCGAGATTCCTTGATGACTTCCACGGCCACGTGCAGGATGTGGTGGTCTATGTTCCTACCCCCACCAATCTGCCAAGAGAGAGATATAGCCATGGTCTGAGAGCCTAGCCACATTGCCCTGGAAAAGAACTTCAGGTCAGAAGTCCTTCCTGAGCTGGGAAAGAGAGTATGGCTCAACCTAGCCCTCACTGTGCCAGCAGCCTGATGCTAGGTTTGCCACTGCCATGCTTTCTCAGGGACCCTCTGGGAGTCTACAATACGGATAAGCTACCTATCTTCCCCATCTGGAACTGTGGAATGAGCCAGGAGGATCACTATAACTCACACCATTCCCTAACCACTTCAGTTTAGGTTGGAAATCCCAACATCCTATTAAGGAAGGTTCCATTTGGATAGAACAAGTATTATTGAATGGGAATGAGGAAACACATATTTGGGTGAAATCATACAAGTTGGAGCAAAGCTAGCAGAGACTGGTGGCGATCTCAGCTTGACCATTTACAAACTGTGGGGCTGTTGTGGTTGAATTGTGTGGCACTCCCCCCCCCAAAAAAAAAAAAAAAAAAAGATATGTTGACATCCTAAATCCCAGTACTGATGAATGTGACCTAATTAGAGGTCATACTCTAGTGGGGTGAGCCCTAATCCAACATCTGATGTTCTGATAAAAAGAAAAACCAGAGACACAGGGAGAACACCATGATGAAATGATGCTTCTACAAACCAAAGATTACCAAGAATTACTGGAAACTGCCAGGAGCAGAGAGAAAGGCATGAAATAGATTCTCCCTTGGGATTTTCAGAAGAGAGCATGGCTCAGCCAACCCTTTGATTTTGGACTTCTAGCCTCTTGAACTAGTAAAGAATAAATTTCTGCTGTTTAAAGCCACCTAGTTTGTGGTCCTTTTGCAGCTACAGGAAACTAACACAGGAACCTTGGGCAAGTTACTGAAACCAAGTCTCAGTTTCCTCCTATGCAAAAATGGGGAAGGTAAGAGCATCCACCTGATATGGTTGTGAAATAAGCCAGATAAAGTATGCAAAGCAGTTATCACAGTGTCGGTCACATGTGACCCCATGATGGTAGCCATGCGTGGTGATTATCATGGGAAACCCTGTTTTATCACTTCTCACACTCTCTTTAATATCCTGGGAGTCAACACACTTCCATTGCCCTTCTGCCTTGTGCCAGGGCTATCACATGCGTTATCAAGGTCATGCCTTAAAGTTTCTTCAGAAACCATGCAGCCACACACAAAAGCTATTGTCTCCGAGGAGAGGCCACAAAGCAGCCAGCAGCTGCCCACTGATGGCAGCATATGCTAATTTCAGTCAAATTGCCAGGAGGAAACCTAAATCCATATGGTGCCACAACTTCATGATAGGGCTTAGGGACAAGGATTAGAGACAGCCGGGACCGGTTTGGCTCAGTGGATAGAGCGTTGGCCTGCAGACTGAAAGGTCCCAGGTTCGATTCCGGTCAAGGGCATGTACCTTGATTGTGGGCACATCCCCAGTAGAGGGTGTGCAAGAGGCAGCTGATCAATGATTCTCTCTCTAAAATGTTTCTAACTCTCTATCCTTCTCTCTTCCTCTCTGTGAAAAATCAATAATATATATATATATATATATATATATATATATATATATATATATATATATATATATATATATTTTAAAAGGATTAGAGACAAACTGGAGATGAGGGGAGCTATGAAGGACCTTCCAAGCGTGGGCACAAGGAGATTGAGGAGGAGGTTGGTTAGGAAATCAGGGCAAAGGGCTGTATTCATTTGCTAGAGAAGCCATAACAAAGTTCCACCAACTGGGTAGCCTAAACAACAGAAACTTATTCCCTCACAATTCTGGAGGCTACAAGTCCAAGATCAAGGTGTCAGCAGGGTTGGTTTTATTCTGAGGTTCATAGATGGCCATCTTCTCTCTATGTCTTCCCTCTGTGCATGTCTATACCCTAATCTCTTCTTATCAGAACGCCAGTAAGACCAGGGCCCAGCCAATGACCCCAATTTAACTTTAATTTCCCCTTTAAAGATCCTATCTCCATATACAGTTGCTGGGGATTAGGACAGAGATATTTGGGGGGTAGGACTTTCAACATGTAAATTGGTGGTGAGGACATTCAACCCATAACAGAGGCCTATAATGTAATAAGGACCTAGGAGGTGCAGGCCATACCCTGAATGTCCTCCTGGTCCTCAAATTGCCATACCCTCTGACCTCGAGGCCTTTGCCATGCTGTCCCCTCCATCTGGAATGCAATCATCCCTGCCCTTCCCTGGGCAATCCCTGTGCAGCCAATCTCTGCTCAAACAAGACTTCCTCATCCACAGTCCCCAAGTCTGGCTCAGAAGCCCTCTCTAAGGTCCCAACACACTGTGGGCTTTGAAAGTTTTGTGGACTGTGGTTTCTAACATCTCTTCTCTTAAAATTCACATTAGAGAAGCATTTGGTACAGGGTCTAACATGCAATAGTGCACAAATGATGTCAGCTGTCATACGACTACTGTTCCTTTCTAAAATATGAGCACTAAAAGGACAAGGACCCAAGAACCACACTGGTCTTAATCACCACTGGGTCCCCAGCACTGGGGCAATGCCTGGCATCGCCAAATGGACAAAAGGACAAGAGAATGAATGAAGGCATGCTGTCCCCATTCTGCAGAAAAGAAAACTGGGATTTGGATCCAGGTCTGCTGGATCCCAGAGCCCACCCACCCTCACCAAGGCTCGTCCAAAGCTTACCCGGCCAGCGCTCTGGCGAGAGAAGGAGTCCACCAGGGCCTCCACCCCATAGTTCACCAGCATGGAGGTGTTGAACAGGAACTGCTCGTAGCTGTAGTCCTGGGAGCCCACCACGAAGGAGTCAGGCATGAGCGGGTGCCAGTGGTAGAGATGGTTGAACTCCAAGGCGATGCGATTCTGGTACTGGAACTGGGAGCTGAACAGCAGCTCTGGGTCGAACTTGAGCTTCAGGAAGTAGCCGCTAAGCTGCTGCACGTACTCCTCGATGACGATCTTGATGGTCTCCCCTGGGAGCAGAGTCAGCAGAGCACAGGATGTAGCCCCGCTTGGGAAGCAGCAGGCCAGTTCATAAACAGGGCTTGCTTTGCGCTTCTTTGTTGCTGTTGTTGTTTTTGCTTTATTTGGCTACAGACACTTGTCTTTTGGGGAGGGGGTGTGAAAATGGAACTTTCTGTCTCGGGCAGCTCCTCCATTCCAATGGGAGGTTATGACCCAGCTAACCAGGACATGCAAAGAAAGTGTTAGAGCACCGGTTCTGTGAGCCCTGGGTGACCACCCTCCCACAGCCCATTAAAAGAAGTTGAAGCCCAGCTGTGGTGGCTCAGTGGATTGAGCATCGTCCTGGGGACCAAGTGGTCCTGGGTTCGATTCCCAGTCAGGACACATGCCCAGGTGAAAGGCTTGATCCCTAGTAGGGGCCATGCAGGAGGCAGCCAACCAGTGATTCTCTCTCGTTATTGATGTTTCTATCTCTCCCTTTCTCTCTGAAATCAATAAAAAATAAAATAAAAAGAAGTTGGAGAGGCCACAAAAGATTGGAAGTGGAGGCTCTTGGAGTGTAAGGTAGGGAGAGGTGGTTTGGAAGAAACCCCCCCCCCCTAAAAGCAGCTGCTGCAGCAAGAGATGACACTGAAGACAGAAAGTGAATCTAATCCCAAATATATTTCTTACATGTTCTTATATATCAGAATTCTTATGCATAGATTTTCCTCTGCTCCCTCAGAAACCAGCTACAAAGCAGAGCCAGGGAAGAAACAACTTGAACATCCCATAACAAAATGAAAAGTGGTCACCTAGATATTAAAAGAAATAGGTATTTTGCCCAATCAGCCATTAGACAAATGGGCTTTTAGCAAATTGATCCGGATCCACTGGATTTGCAATCAGCTGGCCTGGGTCCAAATCCTGGCCTCCTTCTAGCCACTTGTGCTTGGGCCCAGATACCTAATCTCTCTGAACTTTCTTTGTCTTCACAGACTTTCCTTGTCTGTGAAATGGGTATTATAATAATATCAGTACAATAATGGTCATGGGGTTGTTGGAAGGAGTAGGAAATAAAAGCATCTAAGCTGCTTGGCACAGGGCCTGGCATCACAGCGAGTGTCATTACACAAAGGCCCACCCAAGTGTAGGTGTGAGGGGAGAATGCCCTCCCCATAATCACACATTCACAAAAGACCAGACTAAGTCTTGCATCCCCGCCCCACTCAGGAACGAGCTGCCCCTGTGCAGCGGTGGAAGCAGCATACACCTTGGTGGCAGCCAGACCTGACTCAAGTCTTCTACCAAGTGTTGTTGGAGAATCCACTTGACCTCTCTGAATCTTAATTTTCACAAGAAAAGTAATCATATCTGGTGCATAGGCAGTTGGGGAGTGTTAAATGAAGCACTCGATATACAGCTTCATCACTTTTATCACCAGTGAGATGCTGGGCAGCCTCCAGCCACAGACTTGCCCTCTCTGGTCAAGGTTTCTGCAAAGCTGTAATTCAGAACCAGCCCTTCTTCTTCTTTCGTCTGTATCTATTCCTGTTGCCCAGCTCTTCCAGGCTCCAGTGAATCAGGAACTATAATGGGACCAGCCCTCCCCAGGGGTGCCCAGAGGTGAGGGAAGGGGCTTACTGGTGACTCAGAGTAAATAAGAACTGGATGGGGTGTCAGAAGCCAAGCTCCCAGGCAGGAAGCCATCTGACATTTTAGGCTGCAGACTCACCCCCTTAGGAGACACAAAAATATCCTGTCCCTGAGTCATCTAGAAGCTACCAAACTCCAGGGAGGCAGACTCACGCAGGAAAGGAAACAGGATTTCTGAAGGTCAGAGAGCTGGGGTTTGCCCCACACATGCTGGGGACGTCATTCTGTGCGGTGCACTGGGAAACTGAGACTTGGGTTGGATAATGAAATTGGCTGCGAGTCACCCAGTTAATATCAACCATCACAGACATTTTTTGAAGTCCTATTACGTGTTGAGTGCTTTCTCATTCATCATCTAAACAAGTCCTTACTTGAATCATCATTATCCCCAATGTCCACATTTGGAAACTGAGACTCACAAAGGGGAATGGGCCTGCCCCAAGTCTCATAGGTGTCCCCCAGCCCGCCACCCCCTGCTTCTCAGAACGGAGGGCATGACCTTCCAGGACAGGGCTGGTTCAGGGTCCTCACCTATAAGGATGAGGCGGGCCGTCTGGAAGAGCTGCTCATCTCCCCAGGTGGGGTGCTCAGCCTTCAGCAGGTCACACACGCGGTTGTGTTCGCGCAGCCAGATCGTGGCATAAAGCATGAGTCCGGGAAGCAGTCCAAACACCTCCTGACCCACAGCCATCTGGCTCTTGGGCGGAATGCTCTTTGGGTAGTGCATCAACACAGGCGCCTCTTCCACTGATGGTGGATACATCTCTCCGTCCAGCATCTGCAGGATGGGGCCACCTGGCAACCTGGGGACGGGGCAGGGCGCCTACACCTACCACATCTGACTCCCTCCCACTCCTGCTTACAGCTGCGTATCACACCGAGTACCTTCCCGCCCTCCCTAACCAAGACTTGTTGATTCCACTGCCTAAATCTCTCTCAAAACGGATCCCTTTCTCCCTGTCCCCGTTACCAACACCAGCTTCCAACCCACCCTGACTCCTCTCACAATGGCTCCTTACTCTTCCTTCTGCCCCCAAGCAGCCCATTCTCAGCATTGTAGCCTGAGCAATCCTTAAAAACCTACATCTCGTATCACACCTTGGCTTAAACCCCTTCCAAGTTCTCTCTCTGCTCTTGGGAAAACATCAGAAATCTTTAACACAGCCCTGCAGACGTCGCCACCCCCAACCCCATCATTCAGGTGTCCAGGAGCACCTTCCTCATTCCATTCCCTTCAAGTCACTTAGGCTGCTTCCCGCCCCCCACCACCTCTTATGCCTTGGCACATGCTACCCAGGAAGGCCCTCTCCCTTCTTAACCTCCCAAACTCCTCTCAAACTTCATGCAACTCTTGGTTTATGTGTCATTCCCTGGGAAGACTTCTCTCTGGTGGCAGTTATCACAGTGTAATGGGTTATATGGCAGTGTCTTCATTCAGAGGACCTACTATGTGCCGAAGACTGTTTTTAGCCCTAAAGATTCAGCCCTGGACCTTTTATTTGGGTTTTCATTTGTTTAGACGTTCATGCATAGCTGTGCAGCACTAGAAGTGTGGCTGATGTGAATGTGAATTGTTTTACTTAATTTCTATTTAAATTTTGAAATGGATACTTCAGCTATTGGGAAATGTTTAAGTGCACTTAAAACAACTGGGGAAAATGAACCTACTGCAAATGACAACACTAAATTTTATGAAATCTAAATACAGATCATATATCCCCAATGAAAATTTGCCAGCCTAATTAAGATGTGCTGTAAGTATAAAATATAGTTCAGATTTCTGAGATCTAGCATTAACAAAAGAATGTGAGATATTTTGTGAATAACTTTGGTTCTGATTACATGTTGAAATAATAACATTCTGGATATATATGGGTTAGGTGAAGTGTATTATCAAGATCAATTTCATGTTTCTCTTTACCTCTTTTAATGTGGTCACTAGAAAAGTTTTAATGACATCTGTGGTTCACATCATATTTCTATTGGACAGTGCTAAAACTTTCCAGACAAAATGACTTTGTGGAACAAGAATCCTAGTGTTATATCTGTGGCCTCTGATTGGCTGTGAGCTCCCGGAGGGCAAAGCCCCAAATTATCAAGGTCACTGCTCCCTAACCTGTGCCAGGCACTCATAGTGCCCAGTTAATAAGGTGGGAAAAGTAAATGAGCAAAGGTAAACTGGAAACGCCCATCTCCTATTGAGCCCTAAAATCTATCTCCCAGGAAACATGAGGGGCCATTTCTGTTCCTTGTCTGCATCTCGCGCCTGGCACCTTCTCCGAGGTCTATTGTCTCTCCTCCTCTCTCACACCTCCAACTCCTGAAGCTGGCCCTCTCAGAACACAATAGCCTCTGCCAGGGAAGACCTTGGTGGAAGGCCCTTCCCAAAGCTCCATGCGCATGTCCATAGCTACCTGGTACTTGAGTTTCCCATCCTTAAAGAGCCGCAGCTGATACTGACGGTCCAGATTGTCCCCATAAATGTGACCAAGGTCTACCTGAGGACAGAGAGAGGGCCCAATCAGATCATCAGATGGTCCTGTCCCACCAGTGACAACAGCACATGCCAAATTAGGCCCAGAGAAGCCCTGAGCCCCTCCTAGGTACTTACCCCATGGCCCAAGGCCTTGGTGAAGCCAGGACCCATCTTGCCAGCAGTTTTGAAGAACTGGTGGGTGAAGTGTTGTGCGAAGAAGGCAAACATGAGGTTGGCACCTTGGGGGTCAGGTATGAACTTCTTCCTGAGCAGGAAGCGACGGCTCAGGAGCTGGGGATCTGGCAGCTGCTGCTTCCCTGGTTGAGGAGGGAAAAGAGCAGTCACTGCCGTCTCCCTGCATCCACCTCCCTGCATCTCCTCCAGGGCCTCGGACACCAGACCAAGTTGGTCCATGCAGGAAGCCCAGAGCACCCTCTAAGGACCACCTCACTCCCACCAGATGGCCCCTTGCACTTTCTCTACCAAAAGGCCTGGGTGAAGTGGCAGGATATCTGGAATTTGCTTTCAAATACTCCATAAAAAATAAGGCAAAAGAAGATAGATGAAATAAGATTGTGCATAAGCCTTAAAACTGGAAGGTGGATGCATAGATCATTTTCCTTTCCTCTCAACTTTTGTGTATGTTTGCAACTTTGAAAAAATTAACCAAAAAGAAAGAAGAAACAAAAGAAAAAAAAGAAAGGAAAAAAAAAACTCAGACTCCCCAGCCCTGGAGCAGGGTAGCCTGTGTATGAAACTGGCCGGAACATTCACAAACCGTGTGAACACAGATAAGTCATGTCATCCCCCTGAGCTTCAACTTCCTTATCTCTAAAATAGGACAAATGAAACCTTTCTTATACAGCGGGTTGGAGAAGTGCATGAAGTAATGTAAGCATGACAGAGAACTGGTGAGATGAGATCTTTTAGATAACGGGTCAGTGAACATTTTCTGTAAAAGTCAAGATAGCCAATACGTGAGGCTTTGCCAACATACGGTCTCTGTCTCATCTGCTCAGCTTCACTATTGTGTGACTTCGTAATAAGTGTGACTGTGTTCCAGTAAAGCTTTATTTACAAAACGGAGAGTGGGCCAGACTGGAGTTTGCCAACCTATTTTAAGCAATGCCAGTCTTTCTATGTCTAGGGTAAAGACAACAGTCACCTTGAAGCAGGTGTCTGTCATTGTGAGAATAAGTGTTAAGAGACCTCCCATAATCATGTCAGTGTCAGATGAGTCAGTACCCATTACATTTGCAGAAAAGAATAATTAAACGTTTGTGTTTTGGTAAAGGCATCCTTTCATGTCACCTCATGTGAAGCCCAGGGTTGACAGTTAAAGACCAGAAGGCTAGTTCTTCTGAATGGAAATGGCTGACTGGTTTCCTCTGGCAGGAAAGGGTAGATAGCACCCCAAAGGGAAGTCCCCAAAAGGGAACTTGGACAGGTCCCAGCAAAGTATTGGCAGGCTCCAGAAGTTCTGCGAGACCCAGCTATTCTGGCAGAATGGTTGTGCTTTGGGAAGAGTAGCTACACATGAGTGTAAACCATGAGCACAGTGCTCTTGAGGCCCAAGTAAGGACACCTTTATGTTTGCCTGTTTAACCAGGGAAGCACACAGCCCTGGGCTCAACCCACTCAACCCAGAATCAAGGCTCCACAGCGACACCATGTGGTGGGAACTGAAGTGATGGCAGTGGCAGACCGATGCCTCTGGTCCTCTCTGTCTTTGAAGCTGAAATGATGGCTCTGAGCTGGGTGGACTCTCAGCTGTTTGGATAGTCAAGAAAGACGCCTGCCTGTGAGATTGAGTGGGGGTTGGGCAACTAAGGAAAGACTATCTGACCTTATATGTAAACTGCACTAATGGAGTATGTAAAGCTATTTACACTGGTGAAGAACCAACTAAAAAGCACATTATTACTTCCCTCCTACATTTTAACTTTAAGTCACTCCCATTCCAGCAGGATCCCACCGTTCAATAGACAAGGTTCAGGCAAAGAGGCAACCTGGAAACACGGAAGCACTAGTCTGACTTTGCCACTGACTCTCTGGTGACCTCAGGCAAGACCCTCTACCACCTTTCCCTGTCGTGGGCCCTGCTTCCAATATGTCATATGCCTTGCCTTGGTCCAGCTATCTTTACAATTGCTTTTTCCCAGAGAGGAGAACTGAGTATCTCCTGTGTGATCCCCAGCCCCCTAGCCCCACCTCCATTACCTTTGGTCCCCATGGGTGTGGGGCAGTCTTGGGGCACGGAGGGCAAAACACGAGTGTAAAAGGTCAAGTTGAAGAAGGCCTCCCAGCTGATGTAGTCGTGTGCTACGTTGTAGGTGGGGGGGCTGGGAATAAGGTTGGAACGCGCTGTAAAGGGCAAAGATGATGGTGACAAGGAAGCTCCCACCCCCAGGCATCCCCCCCCCTCACCTTCCCAGCTTTCTCTTAGGTTGGACTTGTTTTATCTGGCATCTCAGAGTCTCCCCACCCAGTGCCCTTATCAGATGCCAAGGGTTCCAAGAACTGGCAGGATTTCTTGCTCCTCCAGATTAGGGGACTTGTCCCCCACCCACCTGTGAGTACCACGCGCATGAGCATGTCACGGATGAAGGTGGCATTGACAATCTCCCAGATCCAGCGCCCGTGTGTCAGCAGGAAGTGGATGAAAGAGGGGCTGGGCCGCAATGAATTCCGGAGCCAGGTCCACAGATCAGCTGCGAGGGCAGTGGGAGCCATTCAGTCCTGCCCTCCAGGCGGGACCAGAAGTAGCCAGTGTGGGAGATGGGGACTGGGAACTGGGAGCCAGGGCCAGGATGGGACAGGGCAGAACATCAGGGGTGGGGGTAAGGATGGGAGTGATGATACATGACAAAGCCATAACCAGGTGTGAGGACTGGACAGGGCCAGGGCCAGGGAGTGAGGGTGAGGTTGGGCAATGAGGACTGGTCACAGAGCCCAGGCCAGAGAGTGAAGACTGAGGTCAGGTAGAGACAGAGATCAAAGCCAGGCAAGGAAAGAGAGGTGAAGGAAGGAAGTGGAGTCTCAGGATGAGCCTAGGGAAGCAGGAGGGGCCCAAGACAGAAGGAGTTGGGGCTGGAGGCCCAGCTCACGGATGGTGCAGTTGGGGCCAGAATAGCCCGTGCGGGTGCAGTCACACTGGTAGCGGTCAAGGCCAAAGCGGACACAGATGCCCTGGTGCTGGCATGGGTAGTAGCAACAGGGGTTCACTGTGGGTGAGAAACAGAGATCAGAGACCACCCTTGGGTTACCTCTCATTGGGGACAGAGTATTGACTCAAGTGACAGTTCTGTCCTAATTCACTGGACTTCAATATTCTCCTAAGGACCTTCTTTGTCCCACAGCTATGATAGAGAAAAAAAAAAAATAGCCCTGCTGCTCTAGGCCCTGCTCTGATCTCCAGAGTGTCCCCATCAGGGTCCCCAGCGGAAGTCCCCCCTCCCTTTCTGCTGCCACCAATGGGGGAGGGGAGCAGTGGAAGAGTGCAGGCCCTGGGCTGTAGCATCAAAGGCTAGGAAACAACTGATAAGACCCTGAAGCCACAGGCCTCTAGAACATTTACTTCCTGCCAAGTCAGTGCCCAGCCCTAAGGGCAGGGTTTGCAGCATTGAGGGAAGGGGCAAGGATGGGGGTCTCAAACCAGCCCCCAACCTCTGGGCACCTGGACACTAGGAAGATGAGATCACCCATCAGCCCCCTAATTTGCAGGAGGGAAGGAAGAGCAGGTATTCTAAGTCCACTTGCAGATGGGGAAACTGAGGCCAGATAAAGGGAAACCCAGGAGGGTTTCCCAGCAAGTCATCCCAGGCCAACTGCCCATCCCTTTATTTCCAGCCCACCTCACAGACTCAGTGATAAAGTCCAAGGAAAGAGGTTTCCCAGAACCCTGAAGAGAGAGTATGGGTTTGAGGGGAGTCTCAGCTGTCTCAGCTCCCATTCCTGATTGGGGGGTGGCCACAGCGCAGAGAGAGGAGGTGGGTCTGCCCTCTAGGATCTTTAGATAGGTCAGGAACCAAGGGAACAGGAGACAGGAGGCTGGAAAAATCTACTGAGAGTGTAGGTAGCACTCTGGCATCAGCCCCCCGCCTCCTGGAGAAACCCCCACCAGGAAGCCCCTCCTTGAGCACAGCCCCCTGACTCAACCTTCACTGCCTCCGTGATTCTACAAGAGCAAAGTCAGAGCTCCTTAGGGCTCACTCAGCGCTCATTCACTGCTGAGCAAGGGAAACTGAGGCTCAATGAGAGGTAGAGAGGGCCTCTCACAGACCCAGGGTCCTGCCCCTGCAGGGGCTCCTTCCCTGCCTCCCGCAGGAAACGCCAGGCTCCCCCTCTGCAAACATGCAGTACTTCCTTCTCTGGGCCCAGAGCCAATGTTATGGGGAACTTCTCTTCTTTATGAAACCAATTGTAGAGGGTCAAGAGGCAAGGGAAGGCTGGGAAGTGATCTCAGGGTGCTGTGATCAGAGGGCATAACCCTGGGCAAGCCATGACCCCTTCTCACTTCACAGCATGAGGCCTGGGCAGCAGGGTCTTCCTCGCCCCCACCTCAGAGAGGGGCCCTAGCACCCCCACCAACCCCTTTCATCACACACACTCAGCAAGAAGCAAATCATAAAAATCATGCAAATAATTTTGCTTAAACCCTGGCAGCTCCCCACAATCCCCACAATAGCATCTTTGTGACCCCTGCAGGGTGAGGAAGGAGGGGCCGATGGAAAGGAAAGGAGCTGAACAAAAGGCCTTATCAGGCTGACACAGGCAGGCCAGCAGCAGCCGGGCAGGACCCAGGGCAAGGAGCTGGCAGGACCTAGTCTCCCCCTCCCACAACCACAGGCCCAGAAATGCCAAGGAGGTTTGGGGATCTGGAACTCTCCTCATTGATCCCTTCCGCTCAGAGCACTGCTCACCTGCCGAATTCACCTGCCCCGGAGCGCCACTCCCCAGCTCCCAACCTGGACACACAGGCCCTCACACCACCCCACAGCCCAGTCTTCCCATCCCTCCCACAGCAGGATCTCAAGAGGTCCTTCCAGCTCATTCTATGGGGTCCTGTCCCTTAGTCCCAAAGTCAAAAGCCCTTCTTCCTTTATTAGCCTGTTGCTGCTCCCTGAAAATTCCCTCCAAGTCTACCTGACCCTCCCGACGGAGCCCACACCTTGCCCCCAGCAGTCAGCCTCCCCTCAATATCCACACAGAATTCCTCCCGCTGTCCCTCAGCCCAGGCTCCAAGTCATCCTGCTTTTCTCCACCATAAGCCCACGCTCTCCCCCGACTTTCTCCTCCAGGCACCCAGGTCCTGGAGAGATCCAGCCACCCATGGGATCCAGATGTGCTGGCCAGAGCTCAGCCAATGTTTGTGGAATTAATAAAATGAAGCTAAGACACAGGCCACCTCAAGTTCAGCCAAAGAGACCTCTCATCTCCCCAGCCCTGGGCCGCTGGCTCAGAATCTAGCTTGAAAACTTCCTGCATAGCCGAGTCCTGCCCCGGCAGGAGCAGAAATGCCTCTCCTGCCAGGAGAGGCCGCGTGCCGAACCCGAGCTCCTCCCCCCAAGGCTGGCTGTCCAACTTTCCCTCCCTCCTCCTCCTCCGCAGACTTTCCACAAACACCAGCTGCCCCAGGGTAGGAAAAGTTCTCCCCAGCAAGGACGGCAGCTGCTGTTGGGGCTCAGGGTGGGCAGACAGGAAAGTGGGAGCTGCTTTCCCAGGGGTGAGCCTGGCCACTGCTGGGGAAGCCAGGGCTCCAGCTGACCTCTACCAACCTTGCGTAGTCACCACTCAGGTTTCTCTGCCCAGCACTCCCTGGGAGGGGTCTGGGAGACCGCTCCATGGCACAGATGAGGAATGCCAGGCTCTGGAGGCAGGAGCTTGCCCAAGCCCCACTGCCTCAAGGTCACAGAGCCAAGACTCGAACCCCTTTCTCTCCCCTCCTTCCTCCTCCTACAGGTTTCCAGGCCTGGATTTGGGGAAGGGAGGAAGAGGGGGGTCACTTTGATCCCTAGGCTGGGAATGATCTCAGGGGAGGTAGGTGGTCACCCTTTCTTTGAGGTGGACCTGAAAATCCTAAATGAATGAAATCAGAACCCCTGTGAGCTCACCATTCCCTGCCGCAACCAGAGCTAAAGAAGGCCTTCCTTCAGTCTAACTTAAATCCCACATGCTTTCACGCCAGCTCCGTTCCGGGCTCAGTGGAGCACACCTTGTATAATAAACCACCAAGAAAGAGAACTGGGGAGATGCAGGCCCCGAGTCTTGGGTTTCCACACCCAGCACAGGGCCAGGCACCAAGCAGGTGCGGGGAAAAGATGTGCCAGACTGTAGATGGTCTTTGCTGGCTCTATGTCCTTAGTGAAGTCCCTTCCATCCTCTGGACCTCTTTTTTCTGTGTATCCCACAGAGGGGATGTAACAGAGCAGCTCTGAAGAGACCTCCCTTTCCATCCCCCCTTCTTCTCTGGTCTGGGTGGAGACAGCCCTCTCCATTGATGTGATTCCCTCCTCTCTCTGGCCCGGTCCCAGCAGCAGACAACCTTGCAACTTGCCCTCGCTGAGTCTTCAAGCCATCCTAGGGGTGGGCTTGGTCAGCAGGCCCATTCAGCACACATTCCCTCAGACAAGGGTTGTCCAGGAGAGCCTGGATTCAGAACCTTCTGAGGATTCAGGCATGGAAGTGTCCCCTAGCCCAGGAATCAGAGCTCTGAGCTCAGCAGGGAACACCGAGTCCTCCAGGATGCAGAGGCGCCAGGCAGCAAGAGGCTGGAACGAAATCCCCTAAGAATAATATTTAGAGAAACTCCAGGGGCTTGGCAGCCACGAGGGGGAAAAAGTACCTACTAGCCAGACCCGAGGTCCAGCCCCTACAAGGTGGCAGCCAGAGGCAGGCATCACCACACCAGGCCCGACAGCTGCTCCAGAGCTGGAGGAGGGCAGCTGGAGAGGAAGTCTCATCCCGGCCCACAGGCCCGGCTGGTGCTGCAGATAGCGCCTGCGTGAGTAGCACGGAGGCCTTGGAACAGGCTGGATTCCCACCCCATCTGTCAGGGTTAGCTGACCTCAGGGCCCTCTGCCTGACACCAAGGCCAAGCCCTATTCCTAGCCAAGGAGAGAGCGCTAAGCCAAGTCCAGGAGCTGGAGGCAATGAACTTGAGCATTAAGGATCCCCTGGCACAGCCTGGCACAACAGCTTGGTGTTCCCCGCTGTGTCCAGTCCTCTGTGCTGGACTCCACCTGCTACCACACAAGAGGCAGAAGCAGCATTCTCCATGACACCTGCCCCCAGGTCCATCTGCAGCCCACGTCTTGTGGGCCTTTTGCTGCCCCTCTGGGGGCAAACACAGGCTTTGGATCTCCATGCCAGATGGCCAGGCACCTAGGATCTCAATTCACTCATAGACTTGGAAGTACAGCCTAAACCTCTGCTCCTGCACCCAGCGCGTCATTCATTCTCTCCTTGACCCTTGCAGCAGCCTCCTTGATGGTTCCCCGCCTCCAGTCTCACCCCCCAACTCATCCATCCAACCTATTCCCCCAGTTAGGATGCCCAAGGCCTGGTGCACAAAGGCCTCTGGCAGCCAGGCCTTCCACTGCCCACTCTGCTGCCATCTGCCTCCCCTGATTCAGACGTGTGGCTCAGCTCCTGCACAGCCACCAGAGAGACTCTCCCAGTTTCACAGTAAAATCTCACAGTATTCCCCCCAGAGCCCCCTCCTCAAGGCCCAGGTCACCCATTTCGGCCTCCAAAAAGCCTCCTTCAGTTCCTCACACTTGAGAGGTGACTGCTCCCTCCCCTGGGCCCGTGGGTGGATGAAGTCTGTTGGCATTTCTGCCTCCCCCACCAGGCGGGGAGCTACTCCCCATTCTGTGTCTCAGGCTCCAGCCAAAAACCAGCAGAAAGCTAACCTTCAGGAATATTTGTGGAAAGAAAACAAAACAAAACAAAAAATCTGTTTAAACATATAATGATATAAAGATAAGTAGAAAAGGCAAAAACAAAACGGCACCGACCATGGCTCACTGGGCCTCAATGAATAGGCAAAGCCAGGCAGACCAGCCTGGTTACCCCGGGGTGCTGCATGGGGCTGAAGGGGCCCTGGGCTGATTCAGGAGCTGAAAGACTGGGCCCTGGGCAGCCTGGTCACCCATCTCTGCTTCCGGGGTCTCAGACAAAGGCGCCACCACCCTGGGCCTCAGAGCCCCTCCTTAGACTGGGGCTGTCACATCTCCAGGGCCATTATGAGCACCCACTGCCTGGCTTTGCCAACTATAAAGAGCTGGCCACGTGGCCCTTCCTCCTGTTCTCCCCACAGACTAGCCAAACTCTTTCCTGGACCCCACTCCATCCTCTACCTGGCTTCCCCAAATGCCTCCCACTCAAACCCTCTCCTTCAGGAAACCTGGTCTGGTTCCCAGTCCACATAAATAATTTTCCTCTCTCCTCTGAGCATCAGAGCAGAAAGCTCAGGCCCAGCTCCCATCCTCTGTTACCCCCATTTTATAAATGGGAAGTGGAGACCCAGAGAGGGACAGATCTCATACTGAGGGAGTGGAGGAAATGATGCCCACACCTTGCACATGTGTGAACACACACACGTGCGCACACACGTGCCCAGAAGCAGTGAGTGGGAGAAGGGAAAGTGAGGGAGGAGCTGCATTCCTTCACCTGGAACCTTGCGCATGTATGGTGATGGCAAGGGGTGTAGGGTTTTAGGGGATCTGACTTTCCTCATCCTCTTTGGGTTGATGAAAAGAGGGAAAGGTTGAGGTAAGGACCTGTGGAAAGACCTTGCAAAGAGCCTAGAAGTCAAACCCCGAGCCCAGGAGTGCTGTGAGCTTGAGGGAGTGGCGGCGCCTATCTGAGGGTCTTCATGTGAGAGGATCTAACCCTCCCGGAGGAACCCAGCTCAGTAAATGTATTTCCAACTCCCTCTTCTTAGAAGGAGTGGTGCGTCCAGGTCCTCACGGGGCTCGCAATCCGGATGGGTCCCCAGCAAGTTAGAGGCTGGAGAAAGGGAACTAGCCAGCCAGCTTGCCTCTCCCCAGGCAGTTGCGCTGCTTCCTGCACGCAGCTCACACACTCCGCAGGAAACAGCCGTTTTGATGGGCAGCTGGGGGCCCAGAACACACAGGTGAGGGGCTGGAGGAGAGCCAGTCCTCCCCAAGCCGGCGCGATTCCTCCCTTCCCCCCACCCCACGAACGAACTCTATAGCGTGCCCCCCCCCCCCAAACCCTGCCCAGATCATACTCCCCGGGGGTCTTCAGAGAGCCCCATCCCATCAACAGACTAAGCCCCCTCCTCTCCCTCCTCCAGGCGCCACGAGCAGAAAGGGGAAGCTGGACCAGCTGGAGCGGAGAGGAGGAAGAGGGACCAGGGACTTGGGGGGCGGGGATGCCTACCAGGCGAGGGCTCCCCCCAGGCGGGGCCCGCGGGCAGCAGCAGCAGGAGCAGTGGGAACCAGAAGGAAAGACTCCATCCTGCAGAGACAGAGACGGGGAGGGCTGAGCCTGGCATTCAAGGCTCCAGCAGGAGGCACAGAGGGTTCCCGGGCACCGAGGCGGGACTCACGGCTCATGGTGCAGCAGGAGAGATACAGACTGCCGGAACCTCGCGTGCCTCAATTCCGCGGGAGCTCTGGCCGCCGGCCCGCCCCTCCCTACCCATTCCCTTGGCTCCACCCCTCCAGACGCCTGTCACCTCGGCCACCACCCACTTACTTCCTCTGCTCCGACCCCAGCCAAGACATTTTATTAATTATTCCGTGATTGCCACCAAGTCGAGTTTTCACCTGGAGCTTTTCAGAGCCCGGTGGTGTCAGAGTTGTGTCCATTTGGTAGCTAGGAAACCGAGGCCCAGCGCCCATGTGCGACGTGGAGGTCAGGCAGGGCTGAGGGGCAGAGCTGAATAGCCGAGGCTAGAAGCTGCAGGTCTGACCCAAACACCTGCTGCCCAGAGGAGAAAGGGGGCTGGAAAGGAGGGGTCGAGCCTGGCCTCCTCACACAAATCCCGCAAGAAAGTCTGGGCTCTGCCCTCTGAGTCCACATGCTCTGCCAGTGCCTCCGCCACCAGAAATGAAGGGCACAGGCTCCAGGTTTGGGAGACCTGAGTTTGCTGGCTGTTACCCTCGACAGGTACTTACTCTCAATCTCTGGTCCTCAGCATTCTCCTCTATAAAATGGGGATAATAAGAACCATCCCAGAGGTTTTTGTAAGATTCAATAGGATAATGCGTGCGCACGTACACGCATGCGCGCACACACACACACACACACACACACTCTTGAGTGTGTTATCCAAGCACATAGTATGTGTTCAATTATCAGGAGGCATAGTTTTCAAAGATCTAACTCATATTCTAGGGCTGGCCAGGGCCGATGCTCAGTTTCCCATCTGCCTGCCAACTTTACAGAATCCCAGCACCCAGCTCTCCTGGTCACCGGAAAAACTGGTTGTAGCAGGGGACAGGGACCACCGAGGTCACTTTGAGTCTCCTGTCAGGTTTTCTCCCTGAGTCTCCCCAGCACACTGGGGAAGGCCTGATAGGAGGGCTCAGAGGCCCTGTGTGGCTCCCAGGCATCCTTAGCCGTGGGGTGGGAGCCGTAACAGATGGGGAAGTGACAGCTGCTGGGAAGCCCTGTCTCCATCCCCATCAGAGCTGCTCCCATGCTCCACTGAAACACAAGCCTGCAGCCCCGGGGAGAAAGAGCAAGCCGGGGCAGAGTGGGGAAGGAGCAGGCCAGCTGGAGGGCCCTGGGTACTGGGACAGGCTGCAGGCTTCCCTCCAACATCAGATCCAGAGTCCCTGATAATGACCCACACGGGAGGGAGAGGGGAAATGAAGGGGGTGTAAGGGATGGATTATCCAGCCCTCTCATCTGTGTGTTCCGGGTCCCCACTGCCCAACACCACCGCTATTTCCTGTGGGGGCCTCTTTCGGAGGAAGCAGCGCAACTGCCTGGGGAAAGAGGCAAGCGGGCTGGCTAGTTCCCTCTTCCCTCTTAGGTTGAGGACTCTGGAGCCCAGCTACCCAAAGAGGGAACTTTCTGGAAAGGAGAGAAGAGCATGACTGAGGCCTCCTCTTTCACTCCCAGATCCTTCCTTCCTTCCTTCCAATTGCCCTGGGCCCAGCAATTGCCATGCCTGTACCTCCTGCCGACTCCTTAATGCCAAGTCACCCACAAACACGTGTGTGGCCCTGGCACTGGGAGAAAGAGACTTAGACTTCGAATCAGGAGAACATCCGTTCTCAAGTCTCAGCTCTTCCATGATTTGACCCTAGACTAGCCTCCAGGCCTCTGGTTCCCCATTTGAACAAAAGAAAGATTAAATCAGATGATGTCTGAGAACAGATCAAGCCCTCACTGTGGCCAGGCTCTGCGACCAGCCCAGGAGGCAGTGAAGGGAAGGCCAGAGAGAGGCGCAAGCAGGAGGCCAGTGCGGTCCTCCGGGGACAGGTCAGACCCAGAGGGTGGAGAGGGAGAGAGGACGTCGAGGGAAATGGTGGCAGAGAATTACTGGGGCTGGGTGACCGATGGGCCCTGGGGCTTCAGGGCAGGAGAGGTCTAGAGGTGGACACCTGGGTCTCTGGCCTGGTCCTGGTGATAACCCCAGGGAAGGGCCCAGGGAGGGGGAGCAAGCTGGGGTTTGTGGGGTTCGCATGTGGACCTGTGTTCAGTCCATCTCAGCAGCAGGGTCCGGCAGGCAGCTGGATCCGGGGAGAGGTCTGGGCCAGCCCTTGTCTCAGCCCTGGGGAAGGGCACAGCACAGGGTCTCCTGTCCTTGCCCCTCCACTCCAAAGGCTATACCCTCAACATCCGGAGAGTTTTCCTAAGCTGCAGGAGGGTGAACTTCCACTCCACTCCCGTGTCCCCAGGAAACCTCCTCTGCCAGGGCCCCTCCTTTTTCTGGGCTGTCCCTGCTCCAAGCAGGTGACACACTGGATCACATCTCCTCCTCCTCTTTATCTCATGAAGCTACAAGCATCTCGGTCACTGTTGTATCCCCAGGGCCAAGCACAAGCTGTGGCACATAGAAGACGTGCGGCAAGTGTTGGTTGAGTAGAGGAGTGAGTGGGTGTGTCTATGGGAGACGGAGTACCTGGGAAAACATAGACCTCCTCTGAGCGAGTGAGGGTCCAGGGCCAGTCTCATCAAGGTGACCCCCAGCCCAGACATCCGCTGTGACCACCACCAGCAGTACCAGCGTCCTGCCTCAGTTTCCCTGTCTTCCCCAGCTGGGTCCACTGACCAGCACCCCCAGCACTCACAGTTCTCTAGACCTTGAGGCCCTCCCCCAGCAAGGATAACAAGGATACCCCCCCTCCCCTTCCCTCTTCCCTAGACCCATTGGCGACATGGAGTCAAATGTCTCCCTCCGCAAACTCCCACCCCAGCTTCACCGTTTCCCATGCCCTCCTGGCAACCCCACCAGACGCTCTCGGGTGAGTCTGAATCTACTGGCCCTGGAGAGGTCTCCCCCCTCCTGGGTCCCACCCACTATTTGGAAATCCAGAGCTGACTCTTACCTGAATCACTCAGGGACCGGCCCCACCCGGCCCCACCTCTGGAGGCAACTTCACAGGCAGGCAAGCAACTGCCTGGAATCAGCCCAACATCTTCAGCTCCCAGCCCTCCCATTCCTGATCAGCTCTCAGTGTGACTAGGCAACCAGCTGCCCCTTGGGGGGTCTCAGTTTCCCCATCTATAAATGGAGTGAATGCCATTCTTGCAAGAGTTCCTGCGAGGATGAAAAAGGTGGTCTATGGGAGCACACCCGGGTTCCAGTAAGAGCTCAATGCTCATTTTTTCAGCCTCTCTCCCTCCTTCCCTACCTGAGCAGGAAGGTTTTGTGCAACATTCTCTTCTTTCTCCTCGTCACCTGCTCAGTGCCAGCCTAGGGTTGGGCATGGGTGGTAAGAATAGTCATTGCTACTATTTCTTGAGCGCCTACTGTGTGCCAGATAGCATGCTGTGTATTTCATATGCAGTATCACATGAAATTACTCAGCAACCCTGTAGAATATTTTCACTTCCAATTTACAGAGAAAGAACCTGAGGTCCAGAGAGCTGCAGGGACTGGCCCAACGTGGCACCACTAATCCCTGTGTTCTGAATACTAGGTACCAGGTACCTGAATCCCAGCACAGCCAGCCAGCTTTTGGAGGAGACAGAAATGCACCTTTCGGGCGGTTGGTCAGCTGGGTGTGAGGAGTGGGGGTCCAAATAAACAACATAGCTCAGCTGAGAAGCTAAGAACTGAGAGTTACAAAATATTTTTACATCCCTCTCTCACTGAAATCCTTGCATCAGCTCCAAGAGGAAGGTACCATTATCCCCATTATTTAAAAAAAAAAAAAAAAAAAAAAAAAAAAAAAGGAAAGTGGGTCTCAAAAATTTTCCTAGATGATGCCTGTGATGAGGAGGAAGAGGAGGAGGAGTCAGACCCATGGCTGTGTGGTGGGCATTGTGTGAAGAGGTTTGGTGCATCATGGCCTCTGTAACTCCAGGCCTTCCTGTCCTCGTTATTGCAAACAGGAAAGCTGACTTGCTAAAGGCCACAGGCTAATAGGAGAGAGATGGGATCTGAGTCCTGGTGTGTTTGATGTCAGCCTCACAAGCTTAACTCCCTGTTACCCTCCATCCCTGGCTCTGGATCCCAAACCCTGAATGTTTAAAGCAAACACCCAAGTCCTGGTGGAGGCTGGCCAAGAGGCAGATAAACAAGCAGGAGAGTGGTGAGTGGAGAGTCCCCAAGCTCATCTGGGGAGTTTCCACTGCAGGGTCCCCTGTCCTACAGACCTCACCACTAGGCAGCTGGCGCCATCTGATCAACACAGGATGGCCGCATGCTCACGCCATTGGCTTCCTCCCCAGCCCTCCCCCACCTGCAGCCTAATCTGAAGAGCATCAGTCATCAGCTCTGGGATCTGGGAGACCAACCGCCTGTGAAGGATTAACCAGAGGAGCCTGGGAAAGAGCCATTGTCTTGCTAAGGGACAGTGGTTGCTGTGGAGGTTGCTGGGGCTGTAACAGGTTAGTCCCCACGTCCCCCTCCTCCTCCTCCACAGCTGAAGAAAGAGGAGCTGTTTCCCTCCTACCTCTTCTCAGAAACATCAGGAGCTCCCACTGCCAGAGACCTTAGCCTGGCCTTTAAGACTCATCATCCACCGATCAGCAGGAGGTCACAGGAGGGGCCCTGTATGGAGCCCCAGAAGGTCTGGTTTCTAGTAACGTGACCCCCTGAGCTCATTCTGACCTTGGGCAAGTGGCTCACCCTCTTGAACCTCGGTTTCCCTGCTTGTGAATAAGCCCATTCCCTTAGCTGTGTGAGGAGATCGGGAGCAGAGGCTCAGACTCAGGCAGAACTGGATTTGGAGCCCGGCTTCAGTATTCCAACTGGATGAGTTGGAGCCAGCCATATGTCACCCCTGAGCCTCCATCCCTCGTCCAAAAACAAGAACACTGGGAGCAGTGTTAGGATAAAATCACTTAGCTCAATTCCTGGCACGTGGAAGGCACTCAGTAAATGAGCAGTATTGGTGGAATTATTGCTATTACTAATTACATAATTAATCGA